CCCTTAGCGCCAACTGTTCGGAAGCAAATTTGGGATGCCACGTAAGGGTATGTCATTCGTCCGGGGAGTGGATCGTGCCTCCGGGTTTCGTCCTATGGGGGAGGGGAAAGGCGATGAGCCGTTCCGAGTCCTGCAAGCATGGATGAAGACCTGTTCGAGCCTGCGAGTACTACACAAGAGATCAGTCGGGAATCGAGGCATCTATCTGTTTATGAGTGTTTAGAAGGGTTATATGACAGAAAAAGGATATTCAGCGAGTACAAAGGCATATTCGTGCGCACCAACCACCTCACCGCTCTTAGGACATATATAGATTTAAAAAAGTATTCCCTATGTTCTTTAAAGAATGATTTTTTTGAGATTTTTACACTTATTAAGAAAAATATTGAAATGATATATTTGCCTTTTGTTTTTTATTCATATAAAATTGAGATCATCTCCATTTAGATTTCTCTCCAACTAAATCTATTTTACAGGAAAAAAAAGATTTTTATTTTTTCCTCCAATCATAGAGAAACTAATAACATATCTATTTTTCTTCTAAATTAGAAGATTTAAAATAAATGTGGGTTGGAGATTCTTTAAACCAAAGATATAGCCCGAGATTTTTACAGAAAACCAAAATCGTAAAGATTCATTTTTGCTTTTACGTTTACTTCTTTTTCTATCCGTTTATTTTTTTGTTTCATTTATAATTTTGAATTATTGGTATATAATGACAATGTATTCACATATAGATATAATCTTTTTTTCTTATTTGAAAATGTGATTTATTCAGTTTTAACTCAACTAATCAAAATATTTTGTTTATTTTAGGAAATTTGCTATGTCACATTTCCATGTAACATTTCCAGGTCATCATTAATTTACACTAACTTTTCTTCTCCTTACCACACATCAACAATTTTCATTAATCCTGCTTGTCAAATAATATATAAGATGTGTAAGATAATAAACTTTAAATATTTCAAATAAAACTATAATATTGATCAAAATTATTCTTCTTTATTTTTTTTTTGTCTTTTTGACTTATATTTTGTTTTTTTAACTTGAATAATATATTAAACCTTGAGATTATCTCTAATGTATTTTTTCTTCTAAAATATAGGTAGATTTCTCTCCAACTTATTCTATTTTATAGGAAAAAGAAAGATTTCTATTTTTTCCTCCAATCATAGAGAAAAAAATAACATCTCTATTTTTTCTCTAAAGTAGAAGATTTAAAATAAAGATAGGTTGGAGATTCTTTAAAACAAAGATATAGTCCGAGATTTTTACAGAAACCCAAAGTCGTAGAGATTCATTTTTACTTTTACTTCTTCTTCTTTTTCACTAAAAAGATACTTTTGATTTATTTTTCTATCGGTTTACTTTTTTGTTTTACTTATAATTTCGAATTGTTGGTATATAATAATAATGTATTCACATATAAATATAATTTTTTTTTAAAAATGAGATTTATTTAGTTTTAACTCAACTAATCAAAAAATTTCGTTTATTTTAGGAACTTGCCATGTCATATTTCCAGGTCATCATTAATTTACACTAATTTTTTTTCTCCTTACGACATATCAATATTTTTTATTAAACATGCTTGTCAAATAATATATAAGATGCATTGAACTATCAGAAAATTCATTTTCCCAATCAAGTGTAATCAAACGTCATCTCAAAATCATACATTCATTCCGTCAATTATAGAACATCAACTACACAATCACTTTTAGCACTCATCAAATACTATAAGCAAATAACTCTACTTTTAAATTTGTGATTAACTTTGTTGGGCCTATATTTACCAGAACCACCCTTGAGGTGACGCGTGGCCACTGGGCTCCATCCGAGCGTTCACTTTTTTACCTAGACCTAGTGAACTATTCCCGAACAGGTAGCGGGCTTACCAAGCCAGGTGTGCTGTACTGTCCAACATGCTCCCGCCGCGCATGTTACAAAACAATTTTTTTTTCTAGCGTTTACAGTAACATATAATTGCAAATGTAAAAGTTGTTTCAAATAATAATTGAATTTTTAAAATATATTTTGAATATTATCTATATTTTGCTTTCTTTTTCTCCTTGCACAATATAATTTTGCTAATATATATATTTTAATTATATATTTTTCTTTGACCTATTGCTAATTTAATCAAAACGGATTTTACCATCTTTACTTATTCTAAAAGCGGGTAGATGGTTGGCCCGCACATTCGTGCGTACCAACCACCTCATTGCTCTTAAGACATATAGAGATTTAAAAATATATATAAATTGTCTAATAACTAAAATTAAAATTAGACTGTAATCGAAGTTAACAAAATGTGGTTAAAGGTTTTGCTAGAAAGAAAGAAGAGGCCATCTGAGATTGAAGGACATCGAAGCCAAACATCTATCCCTGTGAAAAGATTCTCGGGTTTATGATTCTGGTTCTCTCAGTTTGGTTTATTTCATGTGTTTGATTTAATTATTCAGTCTTTTGATTTGGTTTGTCATCTTGGGCCATTTTCTGGAAATTTAATAAAATACAAACAATTTAGCTTCTTCCAATTCTTTGAATCATCATCATTATCTATCATCCCTTGGATATATGTTCTTTTTTTTTGTAAATACCTAGATATATGTTCATCATCATTTATCATCACCTAAATCTCTCTTCTTGGAGACGATTCCTCGAGCTCTGTGTGAGTTTTGTTGAGTGACAGCTCTCTTTCAATGCGGAAATAACACCAGCTGAATCTTGCCAGCTTGGATTATACAGAGAACTCGAAGATTATTAAGAAAAAATGGGAAAATTGCCAATTTCAATCCAAACTAATTCTGTCGTTCTCTTTCCTATCTGAATTTATACATAGTGTGTTTTTCTACTTTAGCTCCATATAAAATTCAAATAATCTTCCTCAGCTATCTATTCCATACCAAAATTCATATTGACCAAATTTCTGTTAGTTGGCCATTAACGCCTGCTGACTCGGATGGACGGAGATGCCATCATGTCAACGAGGTTTGGCGAGAAAAGAGCTAATTTCAATCCAAACTAAACATATCGTGCACTTTCCTACATGAACTTATACACAGTGCGTTTTTCTACCCAGACCCCATATAAATTTTAAATTACCTACCCCAACTATCTATTTCGTGCCAAAATCCATATTGACCATAACAGCGTTAGTCAAACTTTAACTCTAGCTGAGTCACATGACCACGTAAAACATGGCTTTTGCTCGATTAATCCTGGATCAAAATAGTCTAGCTAACGGAGAAGCTTTATATTAACCATAACAGCGTTAGTCAAACATAGATCTCAACATAAGGTTTCTCATTTGGTGGCGTCTCCATCCGGTCAATCCTTGCTCTAAACTCTTGTCGCATGGTTCCCATCTGTTGGCCCCTATTTCTTAACTTTTTCTCATGGCCGTCAGCATTTGTGCTATTTTATCTTGGGGAACACTTTCTCCATTAGTCATCTTGCTCTTGGTAGTATGAATCTTGCGATACTTAGCAAACAGGTCATGGTACCAAAGAAATAAAAAGAAACCGACCCTACTCGAATGAAGTCAACTAAGGATTTTAAACAACTTAAGCAAAGCACAAATCGTCTAAATACAATTTAGAGAATTCAAAGGAGATCTAACAATCTTTTTTTTTATGCTTTTATGACTAAACAAAAAAAAACCTTATGTTCAAATCCTAGTATTATTAATGCTCAATGCAGTTTTCTATTTGTTTTTGCGGAAATATACCTTTTGTTCGATGATCCAATTAACGGGAGAAGCTTTCATTAGTCGAAAACATACATAATACAATATTCAAAACATAAAAATATTACATACATGGAAATCTTACAAACACTTAGTCTTGAACATGAGAATCTTACAACTACCATTAATCGATCAAATATCGTTGTTATGTGTCACATGACTCAGTTAGAGTTAATGTTTGACTAACGCTGTTATAGTCAATATGGATTTTGGCATGAAATAGATAATTGGGGTAGGTAATTTGATTCTATATAGGAAAACACACTCTGTATAAATTTAGATAGGAAAAAGTACGACAGGTTTAGTTTAGATTGAAACTAGCCCTTTTCCCGCCAAACTTCATTGACATGCTGACATCTCTGTCTATCCAAGTCAGCAGGCGTTAGCGGTCAACTAACGAAAATATGGTCAATATAAATTTTGGCATGAAATAGATAGTTGGGATAAATAATTTAAATTTTATATAGAGTTCGAGTAGGAAAACGCACAATGTATATAAGGTCCGAGTAGGCTACAACTATGATATATTCGTTTTGTCTCAGTGGCGGATTCAGCTGGCGTTTTGGAAGCGACAAAATGGCCTACAGCCCACGGGTTCGGCCCAACTAGGCCCAATGTGGGGCGGGTTTGGGCTGGAAAATAAGGAACCGCAAATCAGCAGGTCTCGCGGGTCTGACCCGTGCGGATATCAGGTTGAGCGGATTAATCCGTCTCGGGTTAACGGTTTTGCGGGCCTATCCGCTGAAATTGTTGTTCTTCGATTTTTCTTCTTCCTTGATGGCGATTTGGCGGTCGACAGTCGCTGCTGCCGGATTCTCTATTGCTTCTCCCTCCGCAGAAGGCACGATATGGATTCGTTGGATTCATGCTTCTGATAGCTCATCGTTTTCTCCTTTTGCATCATCGAAAGCATAAGACAAATTCTAAGGTTCGATTTCAATTGTAACTCTTAATCTGAAAGCAACCGCATGTGAATCTGAAATAACCAATCAAAGAGCGACCTTGTAGGCTTCAGTATTTGTGCAATCTCACGTCTCCGGTCATGCAGTTCAAAGAGAAATCACGCAAGGAGGATAATAGAAATTTTGCGACTATGCGACTTACTTGATGAGGTTTGTTGGTTATTGAACTTTGTATTTACGTCTAAATTAAGCATTTCAGATGTTTATTTGTGGGCTTGAACCATCATATGCTTATATAGATAAGCAAAAGGACGAAACAAAAGGGAGAAATCTTTTTTGAAGAGATGGGTCAGCTGAAGCACGCAATTGGCTGGGATGGGAAGCCTATAGCATTCTGGCTCAACGAACTTGGCCTTGCTCAGGTAATGTATAGACAAGACCCATTTGGTGTGTGCTTAATTTTGCTTCTACTTAGAAATCTCCATCTTTGTTTATTTCTGCACCTGAATGCTTTTCCTTCGAAGGCAATACACAGAGTATATAAAAGCTTAGCTTGAATTACATTAACTATTTTTTTAAGTGACGTAGAATAACAATGCAGCTTGAATTTCTATTTTACTTATATTTGATTTTCTTAAATGTGTTTTGTTTATGTTGCAGAACGTACTTTTGTTTGAACATGACCTAAAATAGTTTGAAACCCCTATATTACATTTAGATTATAGCTATAGATACTCTTTGTTTATCATGAGATTCATTCAAACTGAAATGTGTTTTGAAGTTTTCAATCGAATTAGTTTTAATAAAAGAGTTTTGGGTTTTATACCAGTTCGTAATTCTTAGTGTTGCATCTATTAAAAGTTGAATGTTTCATTTTATGAAGTCGTAATTACAAATTTTCAGGTCAAGTTGATCTTGAGGGATCTCGTGCTGAGAAGTTCCACTCTTGCAATGATAGAAACGCCTTAAATCCATGTTCATCCGATTTGAGTCATGCTTTGAAAGCGTGCTCATCTTCTGTAGGTAACCATTTGCGTTCAGTAGATTGAAGATGAAAGTTATGTGTTCTTTCTGGTTTTCTGTGTTTGATGGTTTTTTTTTTAATGTTCAAATGATGCTTTTGGATTGTTGGCTTTGTTGCTTTCTAATTTTCTATGATTATCAAATGGTAATTTTTTTTTTCTTTAATTGTTGGATATTGCTTTCAAACTTTAGTGTTATGAATATTTTTTTTATGAAAACAGATATATAAGCCAAGCAAACAGGTTTTTTTTACTCTGAATCAAGTTTTTGATAAAATCCGCAGGTCAGCCCGCTAAACCGTTAAATACATGCGGATTGGACTTGGGCCATATAATTTTGGACCGCAACCCGCATGGGCCAGCCCGCCAAACCCGAGGAAAGTACAAAACCGCATTGGATTGGGCTATTTGGGTTCGGGCTGGCCCGTCTGACATTTCTAGCGACAAGTGTATCTGTTGGCACATCCGGGAGATCCAGCTTCTCAGATTCTTCCGACTCCATAGTACGCACGTTAGGCAACTCATCAACAGTAAGCTTTAAATTAAACATACTTCATACAGCGATTTTGCAGAGAGCTACTTGGCCAAGAACCAGCCGGTGGTAATCTCTGATCTCACCGGCGATTGGCGAGCTCGGGAAGATTGGGTCAGTGAGAATGGACTGTGTAGCTATCTGTGTAGTATGTTTAATGGTGAAGGTGTAGCTATCTGTGTAGTATGTTTGGGAAACTCAGTGTGCAATAGTGAACACTGTATTTGTTTTGATAAATGTATATTCGAACAATGAATTCGAAAACTATCCTTTGGATTTATGAACATGAACATCCCTATTTTGACCCTTTCTCTTCTCTCCTCTACATGAATGAATTTGAATGACTTTTTCATCTTCATGTCACTGTTCTCTTTGAGCGACATGGTTTTACTGTAGTCTGCAGTCTTACTCTAAGAAACAAGAAACCCATGAATCCAAGTTCATCAGCAATGAAACATAATCTGGTATTGAATCTCTCGACTATCCAGAAAATGATGATGATGATTATATCTGCAGGTGGCGTAACTGCAACGGATGTGTATCTGGACTTGAGAGAAACTCTGGAAGAGGATCCACAATTTTTCACACTCTGCAGAGACATGGGAAGAACATATGCAATGTGTAGCGATCCGGGCCCGGCCCATTTGAATAAGTTTAAATGGATTGATTTGGTTACCTATGTCACTAAAGTGCACTTATCTTTTCGGTTACTGGTCCCGAGAGAACTTCACAGTTAAGGGTGCTTGAGCTAGAGTAGGATTAGGATGGGTGACCTTTCGGGAAGTGATTCCTGAAACCATGTGAGTGAGGGCAAAACACGGGGAAAGATCATGTGGTGATTGTAGGGTCAGTAAATAAGTCGGTTGGGATCCAGAAAAAATAACGGACCAGCCGTCGAACAGGGATGGGCCCACGAGCCCGACGGAGGGATAGGTGACTCGCCGAGAGGGGCGGTCGGGGGGCGTTACAAGTGGTATCAGAGCCTGGGAAGTCAAACTGGTTCTTTCCCAGGAGACTGTCTTGGGGTTTAGGGGTTAAGGCTCACACTATCGGAATCAGAATTCGGGGACGAATTCCCGTTTAGTGGGAGAGAATTGTAATGACCCGGACCCGGCCCATTTGAATAAGTTTAAATGAATTGATTTGGCTACCTATGTCACCAAAGTGCACTTATCTTTTCGGTCACTGGTCCCGAGAGAACTCCACAATTAAGGGTGCTTGAGCTGGAGTAGGACTAGGATAGGTGATCTTTCGGGAAGTGATTCCCGAAATCCTATGAGTGAGGTCAAAACACGGGGAAAGATCATGTAGTGATTGCATGATCAGTAAATAAGTCAGTTGAACTACAGAAAAAATAACACATCGGCCATCAGACAGGGGTGAAGCCCACAAACCCGACAGAAGGATGGGTGACTCGCCGGTGGGAGCGGTCGGAAGCGTTACACAATAATTCACAAAGAAGAAGAAAATCAGGTTCTCTTTTCGAAAGAGCTATTACCAAAAATCACAGGTTTTGCAGATCAAAAGATGCAAATATGTTCTCCAAAAGATCTTGTTGAAATGATAGACCGTTATATTACTTGTTCATCCCATCTCTTAGCATGAATATATATGTGCCTTATTGGATTTTATATTTTACATATAAATCGATAATAGTTTTTTTTTTAAATGTCGTAAACATTCCATGGAAATTATCTCTCTATATATAGAATGAAATGACGAATATTCCTTTGCTTCTGTTGATTTCATGTAGTTACTTTCTATGAATTTTCATATATGGAAGGAAGGAACATTCCAAACGTAATTTTTGCATTTTTTCACAAGGAATTTTTTTATCATAATTTTTGAAATATATACAACTCCATTTTTTCGTAACTTTTTTGCATATTGCAGCAACACGACGTTAACGAAATCTCCTCTTACTGTATGCGTTTGACATTTGCGTTAAAGTTAAAAATAATTCTTCCTTCCTTTTAAAAATGTTGAGAGCTTTTGAATCGTTAGATAAACAAATACTCAGTGTAGACCAAGATTCAAAACAGACAAACAATCCATTCCACACAATAATTCACATGGAGCAAGAATATCATAATATAAGTTTTTTTAAGATCAAAAGTGGCAGATTTGTTCTTTTTTGTAAGATGTTTTAGAAGTTTTATTTGTTTTGTTTCATTTCATTTTTGTAAATATCAATCTAAAAATTTATATTAATGTTATATTTTATAATCATTTGTTTTATACAGTTTTTTTCTTTATTGGTTGAGTTGTTTTTAGTCACATATTAAATAATTGATTTTAGATATACAAAAAAATATTTATAATTTTTCATATCATTTCAAAATTTCCGCGTTTTTAAATTAACAAACTATATAAAAATAACAAATAATTTTAAATTTTTGCATTTTTAACTAATTTTTTTTTATAAAGGAACAAAAGAAGTGTGATATAGATCATATTGAAAACATTTGGCTATAGCATTTTAATTGATTTTATTAGATTTTCTAGAAAAGATTTTACGCAAGCCTTCTCTCTAAGTCCCGATATAACCCGATGTACCTTGTCCATTTAGCTATACATAGAGCTATACACCTCGATATACACAGATACAAAATCACGAGTATATTTGCGTACACTAGCATAGAGAATGATGCTTTCTCCTTCTTAAGGGCCATGCAAACCAATTTGAACAATATCATAAAATACTAGAATATTCTAATCAATCTACATATTCCTTCGTATGGCAATCTAATCAATTTCATATATGTAACAAGATTTATGTATAACTATCTGTTTACCTATGGGCATGACAGATTTGAAAAGATCTTGCTACAATAATGAGGATTTCTAAATATTGGTGTCGATATTCTTTCAAAAAGATTTCTAATAAACCTAACTGAATACATATAAATAGAAGAAAGAGCTTAACATGTCGTCTTACCTTCTTACGCTTTCTTTTCAAAATGGCTTCTAAACTTCTAAGCATCCTAGAGCTTTGCAAATCGAAAAAATTGGTGCACTTCTTCCCATTCTCTATCTAAGAGAGTTGAAGCCTTTCAAAATGGCTTGGAGCGTGCAAACATAGAAGAGGAAAGGTAAGACTTTATTCTATATAAATGCCATCACTGCTTATATAGTATTCTCTATTATTTACCGATCTGCCGTATTAATTTTTGCAACGTCTACACAGATTGACAAGATTCGGAGTGACTGATACTTTGTCACAGTTGATATTGAGAAAGAAATGAAAACCAGGCCGAAGAGGTTTAGAAATTGATGGAGTTAATTCTCTATGATTCAAAGGTTAGTTCTAGATTTCTATTACTAAATCGTGCCATTTATGTTTTTCCTCATATATTTTATGTTTACTAACCATATTTCTAAAATTTTAATCCTTGATGTTTTCATTTTGTTTTGATTGTTCATTGTAGGTGAAATCATCACTGGTATTGAAATCAAAAGTTCCTCCTTGAATTACAAAATCCAAGTATGAACAAACTTTCTACTTTATCTTTTTACGATTTATATACTACTTACAAATTAGTGTAATTCATATTATTTCAGTATCTCAGATTTATAATATTTAAAATTCTGTAATCTGTTTTTCTGCTCCTTATTTCTATTAAACAAATCTTACAACTTTCCAACTCGAAATCTCTACTGTTATTGCTTCCAATGTATTTGAATTTTCAAGATGAAGGATGAAGTAGCTATGAGGTTCCGCCCGGTAGTGTTTGTTGTTAGATATGAAGGGTATCAGCTAACTGAAGATGATTTGAAGAGCTTTTTTCAAGAAACATGTAACATTTTAAGATTTTATTGATTCTTCAACATGGTAAACACAATGATTGAGATTTTTTAGATGTCTTGTAGGTGGTTCAGCACAATCGAATAAAGATGTGCATATGAAGCCATACCGTTTACCTTAAACAGACACAAGATAGTTTGGAATTCATGTGCAAGCAGACATTGACTTCTTTAAGAAGTCATTAAGAAGCAGTTATTTGGTATCTGATTTGATTTAGAGATTTTCTACACTTTATAAAGTTTTAGTTTCTCATGTGACCGTATTTTCGTTTTTCTAAATATTATTGGAGATCGAAAAGTGTTTATGGAGACTTTTAGTTGTTTAAAAGTGGGGAGTGGGAGATATTTGTTATCAAAATCCACCGGTCTTTGTAATTTCAGAACTGTTAGGTATAAAAAGCTGGTTTCGATTCTTTTATTTGTATCCAAACCCTAAAGCTAAACTATTCCTAACAACATCCTAAGAAGAATTACAAGTATTTTAGTCTAGAGAATGAAAGAGTAGAAGCATAGCTGATAAAGTGACAATGATTTCCAGTACCACACGTTGAGATGGCTCTGCAAAATTTAGTATGCAAGCATGAGCAGCCATTCAATGAAAGCAAAAAGGATCAAGGAAAAATAAAACAACGAACCATGGTATCGTTATCGTTTATAAGAAGTGAAGCTTTACTCCCTGTAAAATTCTATACAACTTCGATTCATAACGTACGTGATGATGTTTTGTCTTCACGTTTTCCTGCAAGAAGAAATGTATTTTTAAATCTATAACTAATCAAAAGATGGTTCGAATCGAAGATCCCTAATTCAAAGAATATCCTATTCGGGATGACTCTACCAAGAACTTTGTTGAAAAATATGAAGCAATTAAAATTAGAATCGCTTATTTAGACTCTAAATCTGGAAACCAAATAATGACAAAAATCTGTTCGAATTCAAGCACCTGATAATTGCATGTCGAGGTCCCTCGACTTAATCTGAGGATCATCCAGATCAGCCATTGAAAAAGATGGACGATGAAGAGGAACATAAAGTGGCGATTCACAGAAACTGAGGAGCGAGAGTGATTGATTTAGTCGAGGCGGCGGAGGGGGTTTAGTCGAGGGTGTTGGACATGCGGAGGTCACGGCAGAGAGGGTGGTTCTAGGGTTTTTGCGCGAGAGGTTGAAGGTGGGTAAGGAGAAGAGATAGAGGGTTAACGGGATCTAGGTTCTTACGAAGAGAGACGGAGAGAGATTGGTGAAATCACAAAACAAAAACAAAATTGGGTGACTCCTCGAGCATGTCTCGATCTGGTTTGCGATTTTAATTGTCCTCTAAACCAGAAACAATTAATCCTGTGAATTTGGTTTACTTCATTTCGATTAGACCAATAATTATTTGGGCTTCATAAATAGTTAGGTACTTTTAGTTGGGTTCGTTTTGGTTTTTGCCTTTTTAGTTATAATCTTGATCAAATGTGTGGGATATATTAATGATATATAACCATATAAACGAAGTAGTTTAGAACCCAGAAAAAAGTTTTGTACAATCAAAAAAAAAAAAAAACAATACTACCTGTACCAACATATAATTTAAACATACAAAAGATTTAAAAATACAAAACAAATTTAAACAATAAGTTAACTATTCGAAACAAATCAAACAATATACTATCGCATAATTTAGTGATTTTTATTAATTAAATCAAAAAAATATTTTAATTAAATCAAAATCAAACAAAATTAAAATTTCGAATTTAGTTAAATCAATAAAAATGTGCCTACTACCTCTAAAATATTTATCTGTTTTTCAATTTTACAAGTATATATTATATTCCAATTTAAAATAAATTAATCATACAAACCAAATTAAAAATATTGAAATTAAAATTTTCATACATCTAACTAAATATCTAACCCACACAAATCTGCAGGGTATATCCTAGATTTTCATACTTCTATTCTTATTGTTATTTTAAATAGAGTCTTAATGTAAATGTTTTGAATTAATATTGTTTGTTATAGTCAAAATAATTAAAAACATCTTTAAAATCTAAAAGGAAAATTTAAAATAATTGTTTAATAGAACTAATTATTCTACTTAAAAAGAGTTTATCAAATATATTTTCATTTCAGTGTTAGATATTAATATATTATACAAATAATATAATTAACCAATAATCTATATTTTTTTAAAACTTGAAAGTATTGTATTTGATTTATAAATCAATCAAACTTTTATAATATAAATTTTTAATTCCAACAATCAATTAAATTATACAACAAACATACTCTACCATAATTTTTTTTAAACTAAACCTTCTACTAAATATAAATTTAAAAAATTAAAGAATATATAAATTCGCACACTCCTAAAAACATTGTAAAAATACATAACCTCGCGTAGAGCGGACTAAATCATACATAATATCATCTTAATTAAAGATAACACATAGTGCAATATATGATACATGTATATCAAAAATAAAATATAATGGGGTTTTATATTATAAATAAAAAATATAATAAATATATACCAAAATAATACCTCATATACAAAAATTGTATTTGTCTTGCAAATCAAAATTTAGGATTAATGGGAAGATACTGACGAGATAAAATTTGATTTAAATAAATTTATAATTCTATTCATAAAACTAATTAACTCAAATGTAGATGTATCCATGGGTTGTATAGATACATTATACAAAACAAAAATATAGTAAATCTCATATATAAATGTATTTCTATCTGAAATCAGAATTCAAGATCAGAAATAGAATGTAACCAGATAAATTCGGCGAGATAAAATTTTTGATAAAAAATAATTTTGTTCATTAACCTAACTATCTCAAATATAGCAAATATTTTCGGGTTGAATCAATAATATATAAATGAAAACAAATTAGAAAATATAAACACAATTTTATGGTATGTTAAAATTTATTAATGTATGTAATAAATGTATGCCAAAAATGAAACTTAATGGTTTCTATATTATTAACTGAAATACAATACATCTATAGCAAAATAAACATCTCATACAAAAATTTATTGTTATAGAAAATCAAAATTTGAGACAGAAGTAATGTAATAGGATTATTTTGACGAGATAAAAGCTAGATAAAAAATACTTAATCTCTATTCATAAACCTGTAACTAAAATATATCAAAATTTCCGGGTTGCATAAATATATTATACAAATCATTTACATCCATCAACTATGTTTGTTGAATTTTTTAAATTTCTTACATAACTTCTTATTTTCTAACAACAACTCACAATAATTTGAATTTCATATTTTATTTTATATAATCAAATTATTAATATTTGTTTTTCTTACAAATTATAAATCTATCCGATTTTAAATCAAATTCTCAACTATAACAAAATATAATCCAAGAATGATACAATAATTATAAATAAAAAACTACTAATTTAAAATAAATATTATGCACAAGCGAAACCTAAATACCATTCACGAATAATACAATGTTCTCATTCCAACAAAAAAATTAAATCATTCAACAAACATATTCAATCAATTTATTAATAATATAGAAAAAAAACTAAACTTTAAATAAAACTTAAATTTAATAAATATCAAAAACATTACTCCACACATAGAGCAAGTTAAATCCTAGTAATAAATACATTTTGTTTACATTTTGAAAACCATAACTAAAATATAATAAAAATCTTACACTAATTAATGACCTTGACATACTAGCCATAAATTAGATTACTAAATTAGGAATGATTTAATAAGTTGATATCTTTTATATACTTGGTCAATTTCTGATATTTTAGTCTGTTTCCGATATTTCAGTCGATCCCCCAAGATTTTCGATATCTCGCAACATTTTTGTGTAAATAGTAGAGAAGAAAGACAAAGATTTGTCACTTCACCAGTCCCTAATGGCATACTCTATCCTTCTGCAGAAAAATCCAAATTCCAACAGCAATGGCGATCAACGAACCAGAGTTTGCCCCGGCCGTGGCCTTGGCGACGAAGAAGAGAACATTCAAGAAATTCTGGTTCAGAGGATTCAACGTAGATGCTCTCCTGAAAATGTCCAACTTTGATCTCGCGAAGCTCTTCAACGCTCGTGTTCGCAGGGGGTTCTACAGAGGATTTAAGAAGAAAGCTCTGATCCTGATCAAAAAGCTACGAAAGGCGAAAAAAGAAGCAGGTGGCGAGAACATGAAGCCTGAAGCAGTGAAAACACATCTAAGGAACATGCTCATTGTTCCTCAGATGATCGGAAGTGTTGTCGGAGTTCATAATTGGAAGAAATTTAACGAAATCGTGATTAAACCGGAGATGATCGGTCATTATCTTGCCGAGTTTTCGATGACTTGTAAGAAAGTTAATCACTATAGGCCACGTATCTGTGGCTGCGGTTGTTACCGCCGTTCCACCAGGTGTATTCCACTCAGGTGATGAATAAGCAGCTCTGTTTCCCTTCTTTTAAAATTTAATAAAGAAATCTCTCTCACTTTATTGGTGTTTTTATTTCTTTGTGACCATTTCATTTGTGCTTTGTATTTCTGTCTTCTCTTCTCTTAAATGTTCCTTAAGAATAAATCTCAATTTTCGATAATGTAAGAGAGAGAGTGTGTCAAGATCGCTGCAACATACAGTAGTAGTTGTAGGCTTGTAGTAGTAATAGCAAGATCTACAAAGCCTAACGCTCGAGCATTATTATCATTCTAACCGGTTGTGTTTAGAGGTACCAATTTAGCTGTAGAACAAGACAAGTCTCTGCCAATTTTCTTTCTATTCATTCCATAAATATACACACAAGAAAATAAAGATTTTTTTTTTTTTTTTGTTAAAATAAAGAAATTAACTAAAAAGAAAATAAAGAAACGTGAATAGTGGGATTACTTCGGTTAACCAGTTGCTGTTAGGTAATTTGATTCCAAAATATACAGAATTGGTATGAATTTCACCGAGCAACAGTTTATATTTAGAGGGAAAAAATTTGTCGCATCATATAACATCATTTTAGCAAAAAAAAACTAAAATAACATTTATTTTCATATGATATATTTTAGCCGTTTAAAATAATACTAGATAATCAGTTTGTACCGTGTACAGACTATAAAACATTTTATATGTTTAATATATAATTAATATTATATATTAAAAATACTCTATTTACATATGATTAATTATGTAATAATAATAATATTATATAAATTAATAATAATAAAATAACAATAAATTAATTTTTAATGGATTTTAATAGAAATTGAAGATAAAAAAATATTAACCAAAATTTTAAAATACTTCCACACATAAAAAAGTGTAAATTTGATAATTAAATAAACTGAAAAACTTTAAAACATATAATAATTTATTTAATTTTTGTGGTTGACCCCACGCATATCTATGTATAATCTTTTTTATAGAAATAACTAGTTATAATATTTAAGTATTGATTAATTTTTTTATATATTATGTAAATGTTATATACATTGAATAACTTATTAGTAATTTTTCTTTTAATAAAATTTATAATAAATATTTGTTTTAAAATTTATGAAATCGTATCTTATAAAATTCTCCAGTAGTTCTCCGCTCATCTGTTCGTCAAATATTGAGGAATTAGTTTGATAAAGAAAATAATTTTTTTATGGTTAGCTTGCATTCATGTGTTCATTATAAAATTTGAGATACAGATGCATTTATTATAAAATTTGATTCTTAAGATTCTTAAATGACTCCATAAAACAAAGCACGAGAGTGTTACAAAAAAAACTGTAGATAATTATTTTTATTTATTTTTACTTTTTATTTATATTTGTTTTATCTTATTATTATTTATTTTTTTTATCCGGTTACTTTTTGTTTTATTTCTGATATCAAATTCTTGATCTATAATGAGACTATATATAAGTATGATATAATTTTTAAAAAAGATAATATTAGATGGTAATGTAAGCTACATATATTCCAGAAAATAGTAATATAAAATATTAAAAATTTATATACAAATAATAATATATCTTACTCATAACATTATGAATATATAGTTTATTTAATATCCTATTGGATAATCAATTATTATTTTTCTATATAATATATATATATATATATTGATTGTAAATTTTTAGTAATCATATTTTATGCAATCTATTATGAATATATGTAAAATAAAATGAAATCATAGTAATTATCATTTTATGTTAGTTTAAATTTATTAATTTTAGTATCATAATCTAGTGTATTCATGTTTTAGTTTTATAGTTTATTTAATTTTAACTTAATTTATTAAAATATTTCATTTATTTCAGAAAAATTAACATGTCATATTTTCAGATCAATAATAGAAAACACTAACTTTTTCTCTTTTTGTGATACATTAGAT